ATTGACCAGGCGACTTCTAAAAAGCTACACAGTCATGAATGCAGCAGCTCTGGAATTCTGTTCCGCACCACAATCACGAACAAGCTCACGTTGAATGCTAAACTACCTGGTCCAGTCCCATCCTTTTAACATTGCTAAGCATGTCCTCCAGCTGTTGCTTCATTCCTTTTTTGTGCTTCTTGACAGCTTCCATCAACTGTTTCTTTTCGCTGCTCCGCTTTTCCAAGACCTCCTTCAAAAGAAAAAAGTTCTAGATCATTTATTCTTTGCAGTTGAGCCCACTAAAAAACTCAAAACGTACTTTCTGAACCTTAGAAGCGTACTTCTTTTCTTCTCGCATCCTACGTATTGCTTCCTGACGCTCCTTACCCTCCTGGATTTTCAACAACCGCTTTCTCACCTAAAAATGAACCTCTCCGGTCAGGATGCCAAAAAAGTATTCCATAACATTTGTTCGGGATCTGGAACAACGTCATAACCAATGAAAAGACACTTCCATTAGGAAGTTTGGAAAGTTAACTTAAAGAAACTTGTGTGGAATAACCTTTTGCATGTGACCATCGCTCTTCGCCATTTCAGCATAATAGTCAGGGGGTCGGATCACTTTCACTCCCATGGAGAGTAAGCGAGGAACTGCTATTTGAACGGCTTTTTCTGCCTGAAGGTAGCTGAAATGAAAATTCCTACTATAAAGACGAAAATGGGGACCAAAAACAGCGAAATCATTGTTGATGAAGTGCCGACGGGGGTCGTGTATAGAAGCTTGTCCTCCTCTCAATGAAGAGAAGATTTTAGGGGTCGTGCAGAAGTCGGGTCCTCTTGCAGGAGGAAGGAAGAGCCTGCGCTCTTGACGGCTTTGGTTTGTGGGAAGACTATGGGATTAACTTGCCTCAACAACAGAATTATGGGCCACAGCACTCCAGGGTTGACTCGAACCCGCACCTTACGCTTACCGGGCGTTTGCGCTATCAACTTTGGAGCTATGGCTTCTCTTATCCTATCAGCTTAACGCCTTTTGTGCCTAGCCTTACAGCACTTATATGTTTATCGTGGTGGAAAACGTTCAAGAAGGGAGATGAGCTCTTCTTCGTTCACCCGCAGTCTATCCTCCCTTCCCCACTACCTCAGACATAATCATCGATTTCAAGAGAAACAGGGCGGAAAAAGTAACCGAACACCTCCCAAAAGTGATCGATGCGGGACTGGAAAACACAGCAATTAAGAGCATCGG